TAAAATAACGTCTTGCGAATGTGTGATGCCGCCGCCACGGAGCCGATCGGCGGGTGGCCCACCTGCGATCTCGCCGCTCCGAGCGGCGAGGCCGACATTGCTCCACCCCACCACCTCCCCACCGGAACACACACGCACGCACTTCCCCCCACCATTAGAGCGCGTGGGGAGACACCCTGGCCGACAGGTTTTCACCCAGAAGCCCTCGTAAAGGGATAATCTTCACGGTTTCCTGCAGCCAGGGAATTGGACGGTCTCCCCCGACGCTAACACCCACCGCGGCGCCGTGACTTTGGTTGTAATTACATGGTCACGACGGGGCTGCCGAGCCACCGCGGGTAGACAGCACACACAACACACACGGGTCAGCAGGCAGGTAGGAGGGCAGAGCCACGAGCGGCGGGAAAGCAGGGTCGCCCTCTGGCTGGAGGGTCGCTGAGCAGGTAAATTTAGATGCGGACGTCGCTGAAAGCAACGGCCCGGGGGATGCTGGGATACAGATGGGCCTACCGATTGGCGGGTGATCCCAGCGAGCTGATTGGCCCGCGAGTCGGCACCAGGTTGCCCCTTTGATGTAGAAAGAATAAAGCGGGTCAGGGCGAAGGAGAAAGGTTCTCTGGCTACTCGAGTCAACCCCAGGCCCGTCAACTCCCGAGTCCAGCCGCGCGAACGTCCGTGGGACGTATCGACGCGCCGCGAGGACCAGACAGCAGTGACGACGAACCGTGAGTAAGAGAGAGAGAGAGGGAGTTGGGACTTAGCTTAAGAGCAAAACCGGAGAGGGTAAAGGGGAGAAGGACAGGTAGAGTGTAGTGCCGACTATCGAGAGATAGATCGGTCCTGCCCCGCTGATCCCGACTGACTCGGTTAAATAAGGGCTCGCCGACGCGGTGGAATAAATCGTCGGCGGTTACATAACGGACTGGTGTGGTTTTTGTGGAAGCGTGGGTGCGCTTGCTGTCGCGGTGGTCGTTACATAACAGACTGGTGTGGTTTTTGCGGAAGCGTGGGTGCCCTTGCTGTCGCGGTGGTCGTTACATAACAGACTGGTGTGGTGGTTTTTGCGAGGGTGTGGAAAGAGAGTGGAAGCGTGGGTGCGCTTGCTGTCGCGGTGGTCGTTACATAACAGACTGGTGTGGTGGTTTTTGCGAGGGTGTGGAAAGAGAGTGGAAGCGGGGGTTCGCTTGCTGTTCTCGGTGGTCGCCGCGTGTGTGGAGCGGCGCCGCGTGGATTGTGTGCGCTTCGAACCGTCGGCTGCGGACTCCTGCGTTGCGAGCGGATACCCGTCTCGCACGCATGCCCATCGCATAGCCCTTTAAACCCGTTTAAACCAATCCCCCCCAAGCGTCGGAGTGAGCACGAACGACGTCGCTTACCCTCCGACCTTTGACCCCCCTGTTACCCGCGTGTGATTGGTGCGTGGGACTGCGCGGGCGGGGAGCGTCGCGTTTGGGTGCCGGCGAAGCGCTAGCGGGTCCCAGGGGGGTCGAGTGGGATGCCCCACCGGCAGGAGACCCGGACTCGGGGGGGGACGGCACAGGGGGGGGGAACAGGAGCGCGACGACCTTTCCCCGCCAGGGGAGGAGTGCGGCGGCGGCAGCTCCCACACTAGTGGAGAGTCTGGGAGCGTCGGGACTTCGCGGACAGGGTCGCAGGCAGGGGAGATCCCGGGGGCCGGCGACCATAACAATATGCTGTCAGAAGCGGTACGAACCCCCGCGTTACCCCACGCGAAAATAAGGCATATATTCACTGGCCGGGGTACACCTTCGTGGAGAGCATTTGCCCGCAACGTCCTAGGGGCTAAGGAAATTAATGGGTGGACGGACGCGCAGACGCTACGTCAACTTAATATGAATCTGGATGGGCGGGCAGCCGATTTTGTCGAAGCCCTACCCGCAAGCGCGCAGACACAGCTAGAGGAGCTGATGCGCCGACTTGATCTGCGCTTCGGTACGCGCGATGAGGAGGAGGCAAAAGCGGCCTTAGAGGCACGCCGTCGCCAACCCGGCGAGGACCTGCGCGATTATGCCGAGGATGTGCGTGAGCTAACAAAGATCGCACGCCCGAGGCACACCACGGAAGCGATTGAGGAGCTGGCCACAGAGAAAATCCAGCGATACTTAATGCGCACGGCGTGGTGGCAGCCAGACGTGAACTGTACGCGCCTCTCCTTTGATGCCCTTGTCGAGCGCGCGCGCAAATGTGAAAGAATTTCTAGCGAACGCGCACAGCTCCGAGGACTGGGACGGGAGCGCACCATCGCAAGTCTGTCCACCGAGGAGGAAGAGGAGGAACAGGAGCTCACCAGGATGGTAGGGGGTCGGGAAAGGGGGCCTCCGGTATCCCGCGAGACCACCCCGGGATGGGTAGCGGGGATACAGGCGGGCATCGGGGGGATCGACAACAAAGTAACCCAAGTGGACAACAACGTAACCCAAGTACGGGCACATGTGACTACGCTGCAGACTACGGTAGAGACGATTCAGACCGAGTTGGGAGGGCTAGCTGGGAGGGTAGCCCGACTAGAAGCAGAGTCTGGGCAGCGGCGCACGGGGGGGAGAGGGGGCGGGCAGGGTGCCCACTATGGAGCCGCCACCCCCCCCCGGGCGTGTTATATGTGCGGCCGTCAGGGGCATCTCATGAGAGACTGCCCACAGATCGCCCGCGCTAGATATACCGAAGGGTTAAACGCCAACGCCCCCTAGAGAGTGGACCACCTAGGGGTGCAATCACCGAGGTCCCGAAACAAAACGACGATAATAATAATGGTAAGCAAGTGACACCCACACAGGTCACGGCCACAACACCCAAGGACGCGGTGAGGACGGGCGACTGGCTACGGGAGCTGGTGGCAGGAATCACGGGGGCCACGTCACTGGTGGAAGGACAGGTGAACGGGCAGCGCACCCGGATCCTACTGGACACGGGGGCCGTGGCCTCACTCGTGAGCGCCGCGCACTGCAGCGTGCTCGGGGTTGACGTGAGCGCTGCACACGGCGAGCGGAGCCGGGATGGGGTTGCTGGGAAGGATCTCCCTCGAGGTCCGTCTCGGAAACCAGGTGTGCACTCAGGAGTTCTACGTCTCGAGTGTGCTGTGCCACGAGTGTATCGCAGGTACCGACCTCCTGGAAAAGCTGGGGCTCAACGTGCAGCCCCGACAGCGGTGCGCCACCGTGGAAGGCAGCGGGGAACGGATTCCATTCCTGGGACGGGAGCCGAATCGCCCCCGCTTCACACCCGTGGCCGCTACCCTGACGACGGCCGTCACCATCGGGCCGCTCGCCGAGATGCTGGTACCTGTGGCGACCCCCTCCACCGACCCCGCGCACCGACCATCGGGGGAGGTAATGCTAACTCCTCACCCGGAGTTGGCAAAACGATACGGGGTTGTGGGGTCAGCCACGTTGGTAAACGCCGATGGGGGCCGATTGTTCATGCGTGTGTTTAACCCCCACGGCACCCCAGCAATACTACGACGGCGCACCACAGTAGCCACCGTGCACCCCCTACACGCGCGCCACTCCAGCGACTCGGTATTCGCACTCTGGGCGGAGGACCCCGGTCGCCCCGAGGACCAACAAGACCTGGCCTGGCGAGTCGGCCCGACTCCCCATGCCGAGGTCGTCCCCCTTCTTGACGCGGTACACGTACCTTGGGCAGGTTTACCCAAGGGAGAGGCCGATCAGCTACGCGGGTTACTGCGGGAGTACGCCGACGTGTTCAGCGAACACGATTCAGACGTGGGTCGCACAGATCTCGTTAAGCACCAAATCGACACCGGGGCCGCCCGACCCATAAAACTCTCCGCGTACCGCGTGGGCGCACCCGAACGCGCCCAGATCAAAGAGGCGGTCAGGGACATGCTCCGCGATAACATAATTCAGCCCTCGGCGAGCCCCTGGTCTGCCCCGGTGGTGCTAGTAACAAAAAAGGACGGGTCAACCCGGTTTTGCGTCGATTACCGCAAACTAAACGCAGTCACCCTCGGCGACGCCTTCCCCATACCGCGCATCGACGACACCTTTGACAGCCTCGCCGGAGCGCGGTATTTTTCCACCCTCGATCTCGCGTCCGGGTACTGGCAGGTGGAGATGACGGAGGAGGATCGGCCAAAAACCGCATTCACCACCCCGATGGGGCTATTCGAGTTTCGAGTACTCCCGTTCGGGCTCACCAACGCGCCCGCGACGTTCCAGCGGCTGATGGAGTTGGTGATGCGGGGCTTGCAGTGGGAGCAATGCCTGATTTACCTGGATGATGTGATCGTGTTCAGTAGATCTCTGTCTGAGCACTGGTCCAGGTTACGGGAGGTGTTCCAGCGACTGCGAGCGGCTCATCTCAAGCTCAAGCCGCGTAAGTGTTACATCGCCCAGCGCGAGGTGGGGTACCTCGGACATCGCGTCAGCGAGGCGGGGGTGCGCACCGATCCGGACAAGGTACGCGCCGTAGTGGATTGGCCACAGCCAAGAAACCTGTCGGAGATAAGGTCATTCTTGGGGCTCGCCACCTATTACCGTCGATTTGTAAAGGGATTCAGCGAGATTGCACGCCCCCTCACCCAACTCACTTCCCCCAAGAACCCCTATCAGTGGACGGAGGCCTGCCAGACGGCCTTCACCACCCTCAAAGACCACCTCACACACACCCCCACACTGGCTTTCCCCGATTTTACCACCGACTTTATTTTGGACACCGACGCCTGCAGCAGCGGGCTGGGTGCGGTGTTGTCGCAGGTGCAGGAAGGGGTGGAACGGGTGATTGCGTACGCCAGCCGGACCCTGAGCGGGGCCGAGCTGAACTACTGCCATCGGGCAGATGGCCCGATGGCTGGCGCAGCTGCAGGAGTACAACCTGCAGATCGAATACCGGGCGGGGCGGACGCATGCAAACGCGGACGCATTATCACGGCGACCCGCGGTGTGTGCCGAGACGAGGGCGGAGGAGGCCTGCCCGTGCTTCACGGGGGTCCGTTGCCTGTCGGCAACGTCCCCACGGGCGAATCCGCGCCCGCCCCCTCCCCTTGCCCCCGGCGCGTCACAGGCGCGTCACAGGCGCGTGCTCTTGCACGGGAGTGGTGTGGGGTCGCCTTGCCCCACTTTGTCCGCCACGTAGCTGCCGTTCTCCATCCCGGCCAGAGAGCCATCCCAGCCAGCAGCAGCAGCAGCAGCGACCTGCAGGCACGTGCACAGAGCGAGCCAGAGAGATGAAGCCACAGATGAATGTCGCACCGCTGTCGTGGACGCTGATTTGCGACCTGCCCCACACCACCACCCACTACACCCACACCACCACCACCACCACCCACTTCACCCACACCACCACCACCCACTACACCCACACCACCACCCACTCCACCCACACCACCACCCACTACACCCACACCACCACCCACTCCACCCACACCACCACCCACTACACCCACACCACCACCCACTCCACCCACACCACCACCACCACCCACTACACCCACACCACCACCCACTACACCCACACCACCACCCACTCCACCCACACCACCACCCACTACACCCACACCACCACCCACTCCACCCACACCACCACCCACTACACCCACACCACCACCCACTCCACCCACACCACCACTACCACCACCCACTACACCCACACCACCACCCACTCCACCCACACCACCACCACCACCCACTACACCCACATCGTTGTGCCCCAATCTTTCATCGTTCCTTGCCATGAACAAAAAAAAACGTTCAGGCCTCGCGTAGCTAACGTGCAGCAAAAGTTACTTTTCCAAAGGCGCGCAGTGCGAGCAGTCTTTCAATCAGGTTGACACGTGAGAGCGGCATTCCGTGACGGGAGCTCTCTCTTCAGGCCCCAAGGTGCTATCGGCGGGTCTCCTGCGACAGACCCACGTAGGCTAACCGCTCGTCGCCTGCCGCCTGAACGTGTTCGCGGATAAATTGACGGCGAGGGCTTGTACACGCGCTGGGGGAGTGGAAAAGCGCGGCCTCCGAAGGGGGAAAAAAAAAATCTCCCCGCGTGTGAGAGGGGGCAACGCTCTATGCCCGTACAGACAACAAGAGGTGGGAGTCCAGGCAGCCACGTGACCGAGCCGGACTGCGAACATCCCCTCCATATATACGCGCGATCGTTTCCGCGGATAAATTGACGGCGAGTGCTTGGGCACGCGCGGGGGGAGTGAAAAACCGGAGCGTCCGGATGGGGGGAGGGAGGGGAGGGGGAAATCTCCCGCGTGTGAGAGGGGGCAACGCTCTATCCCCGTACAGGCTGCAAGAGGTGGGAGTCCGCACGTGTTGCTGTGCTGCCTGCCCTGCACGAGGTGCTGGGGGAGGGGGAGGGGGGAGCAACGGGCAGCGTAGCCAGCGCACGTTGAGCTGGAAGTCAGAAGGAGGGGGGGGGCTGATGGACCACACAGCACTCGTTGATGGTGTTTGTGAGTCTGTGTGTGGCTGTTTGTGTGGCTGTGTGTGTGTCTGTGTGGCTCTTTGTGAGTCTGTGTGTGGCTGTTTGTGAGTCTGTGTGTGTGTAGCTGTTTGTGAGTCTGTGTGTGTGGCTGTTTGTGTGTGTGTGGCTGTTTGTGAGTTTGTGTGTGTGTGTGGCTGTTTGTGTGTCTGTGTGTGTGTGGCTGTTTGTGTGTCTGTGTGGCTGTTTGTGAGTCTGTGTGTGTGTGTGGCTGTTTGTGAGTCTGTGTGTGTGTGGCTGTTTGTGTGTCTGTGTGGCTGTTTGTGAGTCTGTGTGTGTGGCTGTTTGTGAGTCTGTATGTGTGTGTGGCTGTTTGTGAGTCTGTGTGTGTGTGGCTGTTTGTGTGTCTGTGTGTGGCTCTTTGTGAGTCTGTGTGTGTGTGTGACTGTTTGTGAGTCTGTGTGTGTGGCTGTTTGTGAGTCTGTGTGTGTGGCTGTTTGTGAGTCTGTGTGTGTGTGGCTGTTTGTGTGTCTGTGTGTGTGGCTGTCTGTGAGTCTGTGTGTGTGGCTGTTTGTGAGTCTGTGTGTGTGTGGCTGTTTGTGAGTCTGTGTGTGTGGCTGTTTGTGTGTCTGTGTGGCTGTTTGTGAGTCTGTGTGTGTGGCTGTTTGTGAGTCTGTGTGTGTGTGTGTCTGTGGCTGTGTGTGTGGCTGTCTGTGAGTCTGTGTGTGTGGCTGTTTGTGAGTCTGTGTGTGTGTGGCTGTCTGTGAGTCTGTGTGTGTGGTTGTTTGTGAGTCTGTGTGTGTGGCTGTTTGTGTGTCTGTGTGTGTGTGTGGCTGTTTGTGAGTTTGTGTGTGTGTGTCTGTGTGTGTGTGGCTGTTTGTGAGTCTGTGTGTGCGTGTGGCTGTTTGTGTGTCTGTGTGTGTGTGTGGCTGTTTGTGTGTCTGCGTGTGTGTGTGGGGTAGCGGTCGTGTAGCGGTTAGCGCTACTTTGCCCTACGAACCCGGGCGACCCGGGTTCGAATCCCGCTCACGGCCAACAACACCCAGTGACGATTGTCTGAACCGGTCCTGGGCCTCGCCTAGGTTGGTTCAGCCTCAA